ATGTTTTTTTCCTCTTCATTGAGGGTCACAGGAATGCAAATACACAAACTCCTCTCACGATGGTATAGAACCCCAGCTCTCCTCCACAAATTTGACCCAGCAATACCAGAGGCTTGCTGGAGATGCTCCTCGGCACAAGGTACACTCATCCACATCTTCTGGGAGTGTACCCTTCTCCAACCTTACTGGAGGTGGATCCATGATATTATCGCTAGGATCACGGGGGAACAGCTTGCTTTTAGCCCAAGTACCTACCTACTCCATATCCGTGAGGAAGAGACTGAGGGGCCCCACAAATCTCTCAGTAAACATTTGATTAACGCAGCTAGAACAGTCATACCGAGACTATGGAGAGAGGCACGGCCCCCGTCTCTTACCGAATGGATCACTCAGGTAAATTATATCTCTGAAATGGAAGAACTCCTCTTTATCAAACTAGACAAGGTGACCAAATTCTCTAGACTATGGGCACCATGGACGCACTTTTGCCTAGGAAAGATATACGAAGAACTCACACGTACCTCTGATTAGCAGAATAACATACACGTAAATTGACTATCGATCCTCGGGGAACACACTTCTGGTGTAGGAGATGATGCTCCAAACGGAATTACACCCATAACGACAAGCTTTAGGTCCCTCGCACCACGACACCTCATTCTCTAACATACCCTAGAGTTCTCAGTGGTTTTACCATAGAGGACTCTAGACCTTCTACCTTCCATCTCTGCCACCTCTATAATACTTTGTGACACCCCGCCCCTCCCAATGTCTGTGTTGTCTCATTTATTGTTTCCGTCTACTTGAGGTTAATTTCAGTGTTAGAGCCCACATATATGGCATGTAGGGCTGAGGTCATCGCCCTGAAGGAACATTCCGGCTATACACCCACTCCGTTGACATGTTAAATGGAAAGTTGTCTCTCTAGTTCTGGATCTGCTGATGTATTGTACAGTATGGCATCCTATTTGTTTGCTTGTTATGTGGCATATTGCCGGGAAGATGTGATATGTTTGATCACAATACATGTATGCCTTTTTCTTTTCTTATGTTCAATAAAATAAAAATCTTAAATGGAAAAAAAAAAGGAATGCAAATACAGTTAGGTTACGCTGCCACTGACAGAAGGATTGTGCCCTGGCAAATAGAAAAATTGTGGGTGACCCAATATAACTCCTCCTAATCTCAGCATGCCTCCGTTTTTTGCTATTGTCCTAGGTGAATAGATGTATTTCCTGTTCTGCTAAGAAAAATCTAACCATTTTGCCAACTTCAGGATTCCTGATACATCTCTGTTGAGCTGCTCTCTATATGCAGCTATTAGGGATCAACCTTTCCTCATCTTGAATTTGCAGTGCTTTACCCATAGCCCCTGGACACTCTGGGGCTGGCCTGGAATGTGACCTTCAGGCACAGTTACCATCTGCACAAGTGCAGTCTGGTTTGGAAAGTGCCACAATGTAGAGCCCACTACATTGTGGCACTTTTAAAACCAGACTGTACTGGTTTAGTTAGTCAGGGAGTAGTCTCAAGGTCCAGAACCATGGCAAAACCCAAGGTGTGACCTTGTTTTTGAAGAATTGTGTTATAATTAGACCATGCAGGCTGACCAACAGGAGTGAGCTACCTTATTACTGGAACAACTGGGTGCCTTTTAAAATTCCAGCTTTCCATTGGTTTCACCTGGGAAAGAATAAATGTTAAGGGATTGAGTGCTGACCTTATCTGCTGTGTGGAGTGTCAAGCACACTCGCACTGCTCTTTTCCCCCCCCCTCCGCTATTCAGCATTGGAGAATCGCCCTCCTTCTGCTTCCAATTGCAAGTGACATGTGGAATACTTCTAACCATAATCCTGCTACCCAGCAGCCAAGTTTATAGCTATTTGAAACCTAGCCTTGTACCCTGAACTATGTTGCATGCCACTTTGCAGTGCAACAAGCCTCGTCCCAGATACATGGGGGACAGTTCCACTGTGTCAGGTGGCTCCAGCACCCACTACACTAACGGTTTCAATGCTGCCTGTGTGCCTCCTGAGGCGCCTATGCCACCATTAAAGCCCTCCTTATCTCAGTCAGGTATGGCCGCCTTCTCAACTCTGTCCCAGGAGGATTTCACTGCAGTCATGCAGGATTTCATGTGCCAAATTGCACATTTCATTGCTGTCTCTGACCACAAAGGCCATAAGCATGCTTCCACACCTTCCCCTGCAAAATCCCTCTTCAATCTGCCTTGCGGCCTTCGTTGTGGCCTGCCTTGTCTCCTCAGCCACTAAGACCCTCTCTGGCGCAGGTTCTCTTTAGTCCTTAACAGATGAGCCTACACTGGAGGAGTGACAGTCTTCTGCCATTACTTTGAAATTTAAAGAAAACCATTTTGGGGCCATGGGGAGCGAGGAGGACAGCGTCGGCACCAGATCAGAGATGATTGGAGGATCTACAGCTAAGTGATACACAAATAATATTTTGTTAATAGTTGGGGTACTTGAATACATTTTTAAGATTTAACTCTAAGTTTAATGTCACTTTAACCTTATATCCTTTTGAGGAGGACTTTGTTAAAAAGTGGACTTCCCCCTCTGTGGATCTCGCAGTTTCTCATTAACATGTAAGATCCTCGTTGATTGGGCTAAAGCCATTAGAAGAGACCTGATCACCATGGCATGGTAGTTTATGCCGTACACGGGTTTACCTTGCAGCCAGTACTTCTGTTAGAAAGACTGACTCTCTTGTTGTCATTCTTGATGGTCCTTATAAGGGAGAACCACCTTCTCCATCCACCTTTTCTTGGTGGCTCAGACAAGCCATCATTCAAGCTTTATGGTCTTAAGGATTGGGTACCACCCTTCCCTGTCGAGGCGCACTCTTCTGTTCTTCTTGGGCTTTTTGGCATCAGGCTACTGTTTCCAAGATTTTCCAGACTGGAAAAAAAATTTCCAGGTGGAATGTTCAGGCCTCATCGGTTGTCGGCTTCAGGAGTAAGGTCCTTCATGCACCTCTTTGAACTGCAGGCAGTCCCCATTTCTGATGTTTTTGTGTGGGACAAGCCAGTTACACTGAGGCTATGTTGGAGTGTGAAATGGTTCATAAAGCGGTCACCATTCCGGCAGTTCAAGAAGCACTGGATTGTCTTTTTTTGTTTTTTTAATGTCAGTAACAGAGTGGGAGAAATTGGATTTTTGTACTTACCGTAACATCCTTTTCTTGGAGTTTGAGTGGCCCTGGTCCCATTCCTCTGTGGTGTTGATCATGCTCTTGGTACTGCTTTGCCACAAAACAATTTGCCAGTGGCCTATCCTCCTGTAGGCAGCAGTTTAACCTGACTGTATCCAAATTCCTGTCTCCCTCAAAGAACTCAAAACAATAGATTCCATGTCAAGTACACAAATCTTTTAAATAAAGGGCAAAATATTAGTCTTGCAAAACTGCATTACTCAAATGTTTCATTACATAAGTTGCACATACATACTCCTACTACAATGGCATTTCACAGTATGTTGAGTTCTAAAATTAATTTATTTTTATATTATATATTTTTAGAATTATTAACAAGAATATTACTTTTTAACAAGAGTGAAATACCCCTACATTTTATTCTGTGCGGTTTAGCAGAGGTCTTTGCTTTTGGAGTCTTTGAAGATCAGTTGTTCTTGGATAGAAAAATGGCAGCTGAGAGGTGACCTTAAGACTAGCAGTTGCTCACCCATTTTTTTGTGCACGATCACAGCTATTGGAAGTGTGTTTTGTCTTTGGTCAACAATTGTGGGCATGGTGTTGCATTTTCTTTGTTGTTTAAAATAATCCATTTTAAAGCTAATCTGTTGCAGTAGACGTATGGGAGCTGGTGTGCTGTTTAATGTGCAAGCTTTGGTTCTGTCAGTCTCATCATTATTAAATTACTTGCAGAATCATTGACATTATACAAACGTATGCAGCCAGTGAAGTGAAGCATACTTGTTCTAAATAAGTGATTTGAACAAGTAGTGAAAAAAATTAATAATAGTAAGAAGAAAAAATATGAAGACCTAATACAGGTCACTTCCTGTCTAACTAGTTCATTTTAGTAGGGTTTCCAACTTTGCACAGGTTTTTACAGTACTAATGTAATATTTGCCATATTGTGCTGTATATAGGCACCAAAGTGTTTATTGCATAGCTAGTTAGACACGTGGGATTTTAAGGTGACAATTGTATCAGCACCACTGTCATCCTTTATTTTATTGCTGTGCTAATATATTTCTTTTACCTGAGGTTCAGGATTAATGCTAGCTTGAGGGTGTTCATTGTTCAAGTGTGGTAAATTAAACCTTTAATTGTGATAAGTGTGTGCTAAAATAACCCATGCAGTAAACATTACTGTTTGCCAAAATTGTCTGTTGCCATGACTCCAAATCTAGCTCTCAGAAACCATAAACTAATGTTCTGTGTCAGTAATGCTGGCCACACGTGTATTGACACTCCAATAAGCTGCTAAAATTGACGAATTTTGCTTATTTTTACCACTATTTGGATTCCTTTGAAATATGAAATGGGTTAGAAATGATTTAATGAAAATTCTGAATGTTTTGGTAAATGAACACTTAAGAGATTGTCCTGCTATTATTTTGATTGATTTGGATTTCAAGAGAGAAAGGCATACATTTCTCATCAATTTTTATATCAAAATCATTTTTATATCAAAATGAATACCAACCTGAAAATTTAGTAGTGGACACAAAAAGTTAATCTTTGCAGAGATCACAAACAACTTTTCTCTACAGATATTTTACTCATGTATGGGCAACTTTGGCATTTTTTCCATAAAAGTAAGTTGTATTTTAGTTTCAGTGTTGCCTTTAACGTCGTCTTTCTTTCTGCTTCCTGGATCAGGACTATTGTCTTAGCTGCCATGACAGAGTTAATAGGGATTTACTTTATAAGCAATGTGCTTCAACTTAGCTTTCTTCCATTTCCCCTATGTGTTTTATAACCAGCTGACCTTTTGAATCTCATTTTATTTATAGATGTTTTCCACAGTGCCGGAGATGCCACAGACAAACTCCCAGCTGCATTTGTCTCGTAAAAGGAGCACTGACTCAAAGCCGCCTTCCTGTAGTGAGAGGCCTTTAACGCTTTTCCACCCAACGCATTCCACAGAGAAAGGTGGGTGTGTCAGCTCTCATCA